CTTAGTGCTTTTCCTCCAGTGTCTAGTTGTTCTGATGCTCAGGAAGCTTTTGCTGAGCTTTAGCCTGAACCTTCCTGCATATTAAAGCCACTGCTTCTTACCATGTCCTCATCAGCTAGGGGCAACAGTTGTTTGCCGTCCTCCTTACAGCAGCCTTCCAGATATTTGAAAGCTGTTACCATGTCACCCCTTAATCTTCCTTTCTCCAAATTAAGCATTCCCAGTTCCTTCAGCCTTTTCTCCTGTGACTTGCTTTCCCAACTCCTGATCATTTTTCTTGCTGTCTTTTTGGATCCCCTTCAGCCCAATCATAAATTGTACGTTGATGCTGTGTATAAAATAAATAATTCTGCAGCAAGGTCCACCAGTAGTTTCCTGTGTGTTTCACTCTGTGCCATTGGCTTCTGGTGAAGCTTTGTATTACAAAAGTATTATTTTGCTGTATTGCATAATATTTCAGAGCAATTCAGTTGCTCTTGAATTCTTAAGAGTACAAGCCACTGCTTCACGGCAATGAGATTAGTGACAAATACAGTTAAGTTTTCCTAAATATTTCCATTATACAAGGTCAGTTTTTGGTTGCTTACAGCTTTTTCAGATTTTTATTACTCTGGCTGAAATTTGGTTCTTGAGAGGACTGAGAGTAAATTTTTCCTGAGCATCAAACATCTGACCCATCTTCAAGTATGACAATATAAAAAATAAGTTTTTCTGCCAGAGAAAATTGTTTCTTTGCCCTTTGAACAGCACTTGAACATCAGGAGAAGGTGGTATTGTAAACTTCATATTTTATAGAGACAGTAATCCTTAGGTTGCAGATAGACCAGTGAAAACTGGATTTGATTTTGCTGAGTCGTAAGCATTTAAAAGTTGTGCACACTGGATTATGTTAAAATACTTTTCTATTTATCTCCTAAAATTCCATTGGTAATTTATGTGTGTGCATGTATGAAGTGAATGGAGTACACAGTGGCTCAGGACTTTGCACACATGCATGCATAACCAAGGGGAGGGAGGTTGAAAAAGTCTGAGTATTGTGGAATTTGGAGGGAATTTAATGTCTAACAGGTAGGATTCCTTCAGAAATCTGCGTTATTTCACCTAACATAGAGGCAGGACTTCAGAGAGCTCTGGGCTGAACGTTGTAGATAAATATGGAATGCAGCAAGACTTCCTGTCACTGATTGCATACACAGTGCAGCAATGGATCGTGTATTGATAGCTAGTAAAATCATGGCATGGTTGTGGAATGTCATTGTACAAATAAAAAAGAAAATCCCACCCAACAGCTACATCAAAAGTGTGCTCGGCTGCCAAGAGCACCCAGACGTCAGGAAGTGACAACATTTCAGTTGTTTCCTCAATTTCAGATATCTCTCTATGTGTTTGCCTTGACATGTGGACTTTTTGACCGTACACTTCTTTTTTCTAAGACTCTTGCCTCCTTCAGTGTACGTTTTGGGCAGCTGAACAATGAGATGTTGTGTAGTGACTTGTTCCAGTGTCTTGCTTTACTCCTTGTGTGCTGTATCAACACGAGGCCAATGTCTGCAGCCAGGTTGCCTCGTTCAATTTGGAAGCTATATGATGTGGCTTTGATGTATCAGAAGAAGAAGGTTGGTATGGTAAAAGCAGTGGATTGAGACCCCGAAGTCAGGAGGTGGGTTCTTATTTTTTGTTTTCCCTATCCATCTGTCTGTCTAACCACCACACGTGAGAGTTGCTGATGTGAAAATGTCCACAATTTTGTTGTGTTAATTACTACACCGGGAGTTGTAATAATTGCACCTGGCTCTGAGAAACATGTGAACTGAGATAAGCTGGCATAGCCATCCAAGTAGATTAAGAAAGCTGTCCTGCAGTTTGTAGTAGGATTGGAGTAGTATTGTAGCCATGATGATCCAGGAAATATCCAAGTAGCAAAGGATTTTTTGGTGATTATCTCTTATTGGACCAGCTGAAGAAGGGCACTTGTACCCATGTGAGTAGTTCTGCTGATATTGGTCGCAGTGTCCCTGTCTAAGAGCTGCTCTGGAAAGGGTTTGGGAGGTTGGACTTTGACTCTGAATCTCCTTGCCTTTGTCCTTCAAATCAGAACCATGGTTGTTCATTATTTTTGACTCTCTCAAAAGTGAAAATGATAATTATGATACAGATTACAAGTGCTAAAATATGGGGTGAACATGCGGAGTTAACATCTAAATTTGTCTATTGTCTGAATTGGAATTTTTAAGAATTTCCAGTTCATTCATATTTTACCAAGAATAAGCTTTTAAGTTACCGTCACATAACTTCTAAGAAATAAGAGTTTGTTTTGTTAAATTCAGGAGTTGAATAGAAGAGAGAATAATTTCTGGGGACTTTGTCTATTCATATTTATGGGAAAAGTGATTGCATGCATAAAATTGTAAGGAAGCCTGGGCAATTTAGCTTGCTGACTGTTAATAGCTTGAAGTCGGGGTACAGAGTAGAAAGGTAAAAATCTCGCATCTGCTGTTACATGTTGTTAACTCCCTCAGCAGACATTAAATCATTTCAAGTACAATAATAGTGTGGGAGGTAAATTAACTAACCATTAACAATCTTATAAATACACAATTAACATGCCAACATTTATATGACACATTGATGGGGCAGCAGTAATTTTTGATTGGGAGTTTGCAGACCTTTTAGAAGCCTAAGGCAGTTGCTTATTTGAGCAGGTTCTCGCTGCCTGCAGGTGAGTGGTGGCTTTTCCAGTACCATGTCAAGTGTAAATCATTCTATTTAAAGAATGTTTTCAGTATGCAACCTGGAACACCTTTATTTTTAAAATACCCATCTACTGCACTTAGTTGTCTCCTGCACTCCTGAGGTCAAACCTCGATAGCCAAACTCTTACTGCTGAAGGCCTTCAGCTGGCAATTTACAGCATGGGGATATGTGCCTTTTGGTCTCTCACATCTGGAGAAGCCTTTGAGGCAGGCATTTAATTCTTTATAATGGAAATAATCTGGCTGGACCCCCATAACTGAATTTAATAAAAGTTGCGAAAACTATTTAGATATCATTCATTTAAACTGGTAGTAGGAGGAGAATTATTCTTTAAGAGATGTACTTCTTTCAAATGTAGGTTGACTTTTTTTTTCTCTCCTATTTTTGTTGAAATCCTTTATACTCCTTGGATTATTATTTAATATTTATATAATGCTTTGAATTTGCTTAGTACTTTACAAAACAGAAAAACATATGAGAGATGCAGCAGAGTACAGAAGAGCTTTTACGAGTAAAGATAATGTAAGCTCTTATGTTGGATTTTGATTGTCTGACTCTTGGGATGATTTTATGTGAGGGGAGGGACTGGTAGATGAATTCCCAAAGTGCGGTGAGAGCAAGACTTCCTATAGGTTTAGATACCTGCATAACTTTGATTTTCTCACCATTAGTAATTGGCTTGAAGTAAGCATTACTTTACTTCTAATAGTTTAATACAGATATTCATGATGCCCCAATGCCAAAGTTGCCTAGTAAGTGGCCTCTAGGTTATAAAATAAATTTTCTATCTCCAAAACTTAGTGTGAAATGGTGTGTGGATTTGCTGTTCCCTGGATAAGCTTGTCTGATGCTACCTTGTATTCTGCCCTGTCACAAACTGCCAGACAATGGTCCAGTTGTAGTGTTTCACCTCATTTCTCTGGGGAAGTGCTTGGTTGGGGGGTAAAATCCTTTTTCTCTCAGTTTTGCCCTTGGAATTACTTTCTCTTTCTTGAAGGAGCTCTTGCAGAATACACTGGTGCTTAAATGCTTATTTAACCTCTTGAGTGCTATAGTTGTGGTAAATATATTTTTTTCTAGAGATGGGTAGGACTCACCCATTTGATAAAACACAAGAATTGGACGTTTGGGCTTCTGGATCCTGCTTCTCATTCTGCCACTGACCTCAGGCAAAGCGCCCTGAGCCTCAGTAAAATGGTGATAACATCTCTCGGAGAGTTTTATAACATTAAGGGTTTTTTTGTCAAACAATTTTAGTCCTTTGAATGAAAGGTTCTAGTTAAGTACAAATGATTTGGGCACATTGGTATACAATGTATAATACTAATTGTCCCATATTCATTCATGGAGCAGCAGGTATGAATTGAGTACTGTCCTGAGCTGCAAACCTCTCTTCTTTTTAAATTTTTCCTAAAAATTGTCTTTAAAAATGTCTTCACTTTTAGCTCTAATTCAATAGCACGAGGAGCTGGGGAGAATTTCCAGTTACAGAATAGTCTCTATTAGGTGAAGAGATGGAGCTCAGTGTATCGCTGGTTTAGCACAACTTCTATGCTCGCTTTTCAAGAGTAAGTCATAGAGCAGAAGATGAGAAGCTGAGTTGAAAGACTAGAGGGAGCTGAGAACTTAAGGAGAAGAGTTAAGAGGGAGGGCAAGCTTCAGATAAGCGAATGACTGAGATCAAAGGTGGTGTCAGGGGAAAGGGAGCTAAAGCCAAGCATTCAAGCGGTGGTATGTAGGGGAGGGCACAAGGATAACCGAGTAGGAGGGACAGAGATGTTATTGGAGCATTCTTCTCATGGCAGTGACGAAGGAAAATAAATACCTGGTGGCTGATGGTTCTGGCTATTACAGGGGCTGAGGGGAGGATGCAGGCTGACACTGTTAAAGCCAGGCCTGAGGGAGAGGGGAGATGCTGAGTCCACAAAAGGGAAACCATCCTGAACAGAGTGGTAGCATGCATCGGTACCCTTGTTTTGTGTTAGTTATTGACTATGGGGTGTGTTTGCTTCACTAATTTATCCTAGGCTATTGTTTTGGAAATCAAGTCTTTAATTGTCCCACAGAACAACTGGCACTCTAAGAAGGTAGCATGCAACTGGTCTTATGAAATCATCATCACATTTGAAATAATTTGGTGCATAAAACCAAGTTTACTAAGTTTCCACTCTGAATGTGAAAAAAATCTTTGAGTAAGTTCTGGTCACTCCCTTTTTCTGAAAATGCTGTGTTCATTGTGTTTCCAGGTAGGCATGTTCATGGAGCAACATGGAGAAAAGAAGATAGCATAGTAAGGTGGTGGAGTTGCGGACAGCATGGCCTTCCTGGACAACCCAACCATTATACTGGCTCATATTCGGCAGTCACATGTGACAAGTGATGACACAGGGATGTGTGAAATGGTCCTGATAGATCATGATGTCGACCTAGAGAAATTCAATCCCTCTTCAACAAATGGGGACAGTGGTTCAGAAATGCAGGGAAGCAATGGGGAGACTCAGGGTTATGTATATTCCCAATCAGTCGATATTACCTCAAGCTGGGACTTTGGGATTAGAAGACGATCAAACACAGGTAAATGATATTTGAAAAAAAAAAACCTGCTAGAGCTTAAATTAAAAGTTTAACCTTGTTCACATGGACTGTTGATAGGATTGCTAGCCATTTCATAGAATCACATAAAGTAATAATAAAAGATAGGCATGGGGGAGACTGCAAGTCCATCTCCCTGCTCCAGTAAGATCAACTGTGTCTAAAAATCTGTTGGCCCTTTCCTTTGTAACTTATGGCTGTATAAGTAGATCACTTCCTTTAAAAAAGCATAACAGTTCAATTTCTTAAGTATGCGGTAATTTAATTTTTAATTGTTTTTTTGTTTTGTTTTTTTTTGCTCGTGCCAAATAGAGCATACAAAGAAATTTTAAGTGCTCCATTTTCCTCAAAGAATTAGTTTTAAAACATTCCCTGATGAAACCAGCAAACACCAAAATTCCAGGATCAGGCCTTATGGGTCTCATTAATTGGGTACACAGGTACTTTTTACGAAGCATCTTAGGGGGGTATCAAACCCAATCTTTCTGGTAGCAAGGATTAAAAACAATGAAAAAATCAAGTGGAGAAAGAAAGGACTAAGAGGGCAAGAAATCCCAGAAGAATGGAACAATTTGGGGATAGAACGGGAGAGGATTTTTACATCCTGTTGGGGCAGAGTGAGGGGGAATTGGAAAGAAGCAAAGAAATTAGTGTAATGCGTGTTTGTTCCATATTTACTACATTTCATGCGGAGAACTTTCAATTGTTCGCTTAAGTGAAGCGAGGGAGCTGGTGTCCTGGTTGTTGCTTCTAATTAATCTTGAGTCATGCTACCCCTGAGTGTATAGAACAGGTCAGGTGTCTAAAAACTACCTGCTGAAGTAACCCGTCATTTTCCTTCTCTCGGCTAAATGTCTGTAATGTTGCATGCTAGTGTTAGTCTTCTTGGGGCAGGGGCATGCACTCAGGTTAGGCAGTAGAGAGCATCCTTGAATCGAGGGATTGCCAACAATGAAGACAACTGTGAGGAAAAGGAAGGTGTGCAGCAGCTGCCTGTGTGTACACCATTAGCCTGTGGCCAGAGAAAACCAACCCAGAGTAGCTTATTTCTCAGTGGGATGTTCAGGATATGCCCAGTGAATGCTGATAATGTGTGTCAAAGTAGGTCAGTCTCTGTATGGCCTCTTCTGGAGCTTTAGCCAACAGCTGATTTTTTGTAGCGCCAAGTATATAGAACCAAGGCACAACAGGAACTGTATGTTATGGGGTTCTTAGGATTTAAGTTAAATCTTAGTTCAGCAATCTAATTTTTGTTGGACTATTGAAGTGTATCTGTTTCTTTCCTAGGGCTGCTAGGGTCTAATAGATCCACAAAATATTGCGTATGTAACCAGCATTAGTTGTATAATATCAGTTATATTGTCATCTTAATATCTTGCTGTATCCTCCACCTGCAGGAAAATTAAATAGGATTCCAGCTCTCAAAACACAACAAATTAAAGATATTTGCCCTTTAAATGTATATGAGCACCTCAGGTTCTGTTGAGGAAGAGAAAGTATCACTCCTCCATCCTTTTGCATAAGGGAGCAGAGTTAAATGTATATGGAAAGACTGGAAGAGGAGGATTTCTTTCCTGGTTAGGAGCATGCAGTTTTAAATTTTTTTTGTAGGTATTACAACACCACCTAGAGCTCAGAAATAAATCTAAGTATATTCTACCTATCTAGTGGTGTACAGTATTAAGTATCTCAAGATACTCTTACTAAAAGTAAAGTATTGTCCAGAGTTATGAAAAATAATTAATAGCATTGATTAAGCATAATTTAGGTTTCTTGCTAAATTTGGCATGGGGTGTTTAAATATAGTTTTGCATTTTGACTAAAACGTGTGGTAAGAAGTTGAAAGTATCACAGTACTTTCTTTGAGAGCTATTTTGGTGTAGCTGTGGTTATGATACAAAAAAATGTAGAAGGAAAGTTTTCTGATTTGTGGAATTGCTCCAAAGAGTGGTACTGACAGATAAGTTCACTGAGTAGGTAGTTTGAGAGAAGAAACTACATTAAATTCTTGTTTGAAATAATTTATCTTCCCCGTTAGTGGCAGGTTTAATATAGTGGTTAGCACGGTCTCTCCAATGGGGAGCCAGGTTACTGCCAGTTTTTCCTTTCTTTTCATAATATTCTCTTGAATGTCCCCCTGTCTTCTCCTCTCATGTACACTGGTACCACCGTGCAGTTAATGAAATTATCAAGGCATTCATAGCTCATGATGGGAAACAATCAGAGCAGTAGGGAAGGTAAGTTCAGTCCTATTTAATCTTTTTCCATAATACAAGAACACGGAGTAATCCTGTTAAATGGCTACAATTTTAGAACTAATAAAATACTATTTACAAAATATGCATACCCAATAATTAGCTAGTCTGAAGTATTTAGTGACAGAAAATCTTATATTCAAGGACTTTAATGGACGTCAAAAAAGAATGAGACTTTTGTATAACTTGCTCAGTTAGCTTTGGTAGGTTAAAAAAAAAAAGGGGGGGGGGGGAGCGGGGGGTCATCCCTTTCATGCCCTGAGGTACAAGTAACTATTAACTGCCCAGACTTCTCTCATGTAGCTTGTTCCAGAATTTTCAAAAATTCTGCTAACAGGGTCCACAGCTTCCTTGAGGGAAGCTTGACTTCATTTCCAGTGAGAGGTGGTGCCGTCTTACCTGATGTCACTTGTGATTTTGGTCCAATGATGAAGAGTTGTCTGCTAGTTTGAACAGATCATCTTAAAATCCTGTTAAAGAGCGCCAGCCCCCTTGAAGAAGAGCTGTTGGATGAGATGGCCTCCTGAGGTCCTTTCCAACCCTACTTTTCTATGATTCTTGTCTATAAAGAATAAAGTCAAAATGGCCATTACCTATTTAAAAAATACCTAGTGCAGAAGATTCCTAAGGGTTTTACCCATGTGGGTATACAGGCAGTCCTCAACTTACAACGTTTATAAATTGACACCCTGTTTCAACTTTCTGACGGCAGTTTCAACTTTACAATGTTTGATCCAACACCACAGCACACCAGTGAACAAGTTCGCTGTGTCACCCATCTCCGTGGAGAACAGCTGTCCAAACTTCCTTGGACAGTTTCTTTAAAAAAGATAAGACTCCGGAAGAACCTGCGAAAGATAAGACTCTGAAAGGACCTGTAGCCAAGACTCTGGAGAAGACTCCAGCCAAGAACCCTTCCAAAAATCCAACCAAGAGCCCTTCAAAAAGTCCAGCAAGGTCACCTCAAAGGAGTCTTTCCAAATAATGTGATTGCTATGTACAATACAGTACAGTCGCAACTTACGCATATTTAACTTACACGAATTCAGCTTTACGCACTCGGCTGCCGGGGCTGGCTGCCGGGTGCCAGCCGGGGCGTGGTGCGTAGTGTGGCGCCATGTGGTATTGCCTGCACTCGCCAGCATGGCTGGGGGGCTCACGCTCAGCTGGCTGCCCTGGCGGGACGGGGTGGCAGAGGACAAGAGGGGTGAGAAGTGCGTGCTGTTGCACAGCTGTTGCACTGCATGCACGGGCTGTGCGGCACCACGCCCACCTTCTCCCGGCCCGGCAGCAGCTGCTCAGCGCTGCAGCCCAGTGATTTCAGCTATACGTGATTTCAACTATAAGCACTGACTTCGGAACGTAACCCGCCGCGTAAGTTGCGATTGTACTGTATAAATACATTAATGTAGCTATATTACTCATCTATAATT